TCCGTGACGGGTAAGTCGTCCTGTCACCTTGAAATAATCCCAAAAACCCGGACGGTCTCAGCGTGACCTCGTAAAAGGAGCAGTGTAGCGTCGAACATGCAAAAATCTCTTGTGTCGTCGTCACGGGGTTTACCCTCTTGCCAAACATCTTCCCGCGCAAGTTTCTGTCCCGCTTGCAGCCGGTCAGACAAAGCAGAAACATGGTCCTGATTTGTCCACATTTTTAAACAAACTTCGTTATGAAGGCATGCAAACCACGTCCGAGCTTGTGTCTCACGTTCCAACCAAGCGGAGATAGGATCGCTCATGGATGGCGATGCGACGGGAGAATCGAGACCGAGAGCCATGGCCATGTGCGTGGACATTGTACAGTAGCGAAATCCGAGAGATGCTACAAAAAAGTTCCACCAGTCAAGGGTGCGAATTCGCGATACACAAACATGTTGATCGCTGCAACTCACGTTTTCCCGTGCCTAGGGAAACATTTTAAAAAAAAATTACAAGATACAAGAGTAAGTATCCGCTGGTGAACCTCGTAAAACATCAGCGACCAAAACACGAGTCAAGCAGCACCCCAATGCAAAAAAAAACCCGACAAAATAAAGGGTATACTTACATCCCGCAAATGTTCCCAATAATATGAGAGCCTGCACTGCAGCCAAGCTCGGCTTGTCGACTAAATTATGTACTTTTTTTCGAGCTAGTTTGAAAAACATTTGGGCTGTCCAGATTTCCCCATCTGATGCTGGTGATGGTGGATGTCTCCAGGCACTCAGGGCGCAAACGGCGTATAAAAGGTAGTCGGGTTGTTGATGGAGAGTGGCGAGGAAGGTTCGGCGGTGGAGAAAGATGTTTGGGACCGTATTGTACCATGTCTTTGAAAAGAAAGAAAAAAGGGTGAATAAAAATGGAAAAGGATACTTGGAATAGCTGCATTTGCATCCTCACATTAAAGAACCGATTGGAAAGTGTTTCAATCAATTCCATTGGCGGGGTATTGCTCCAAGATGGGGATGTTGGGGAGAGAGGGTCGGTTGACAACCCGAGGCTAGCGATTTTATCATCTGCAGATGTTCGCGTACCGGGTTTGTCGCTCGTCTATCGTAAAACAAAAAAAAAAAAAGTCATTAGCAAAGAAAAAGTTACAAGCCGAGTAGACACAATCGCCATTTCATTTATTTTACCAAACGCTGAATCTGCAAATCTCGCAATCTTGTCTCTGCATCTTTAATCTTTGCTCGAAGATCTGCAGACAGGCGTGCACGAGGACCCATCCGTTTCTTTCCATGATGAATGAGCGGTTTGGGACCCGAAGGTCTGCGAGCCTGTCGAATCCCAAATGAACACTCTCGCTTATTTCTCCAACAAGGTCCGCAAGGTTCACCGGTTGGGGCATCGTGTGGATTATCGGTGGTGGGAGGTGAATTTGATTGTATGGGAGTGCATTTGACTTTTCTCGCTCTGCATGCATCGCAGGCTGATCTGAACCGCACGGGGGCAACACCTGCGGATTGAATTGCTGCGAGGACCGGATCATTGGCGACGGATGGGGAGACAGCTGTATCAACCTGTGTAGTATCGACCGGCCCTTCGACTGTATCGTGTTCCGTTTCTTGTTCCATCTCCCTTCAAAAGAAAAAAAAAATAGAATCTACTGTTATAGCATCTCTAAACTTTTGTTCCTCCTAAACTGCATCCCAGCTCAAATACAAAAAAAGAACAACCCTTCTAAAAAAAAGAAAACCCTAGAACAGCACAGAAACACTGGCGGAACCGCCGTCTTAAACCCTCTGCTATTATTAATGTATAAATAAAAGGCAAATCCCCTCCGGTGAACCTTTTTCTTTTTCCCACACTCTCTCCTCCGTTTGAAAGGGTGAGAAAAACGGGACGTTCCTTACAAGTGATCGGCAACGATTTTCCCTCTCTCTATTGCCATGGAATCCAAACGAAATTTTATAGTAACTAGTGACGTCATGGTCGTCATTTTCTATGTAAGCCCTCCGAAGTTTAACCCCATACTTTGGTATCATGTGTCATTGATCAGCGTTTCATATGGACCGAGTTCCAGGTCTCTGGTTTGCACATAAAGATTTTGCAGTCGGAGGGGCGATCTGGACTGTCGATCCCTCTCGTTGGCTCCATTGGACTAGAATGACTGGACACTTTGCAACTTGCGGACATTTTGATTTTTGTGTCTCTGTGGGGGGGGGGGCGTTTTGTTTTAGTGGGTGGTGTGTTTTTGGCTTGCTGTGTGGGCCCATGGAGTCCTCGTGGATCATTTGCTAGTTGGTGGTGGGGACAGTTGGGAGGCTGTGATTGGAGGGGATATCTCACGTGAGAGTGGATGAGTAATGATGAGTCATGTTCTGAGTCATGATGCCGTAACCTTCAGGAAAGCAGCCTAAAGGAGCTCTAGGTGATGGTGGGGCATTTTTTGAGGGACCCAAATGAAACGCTCGCTGCCAGACAGTCATTCATCACCTCAGGATGACAAGAGACCAAGGACAAGCCATGACGCACTCCCCGCAACAAACACGAACCCACCGCCAACCATCTTTGTGTCCTCTTCGATAAGTGACAGAAAGTCAACATTTGTCGCACATGCTGCAGAAGTCCGCTCACCCCAAGATCTCTCCCGTCTCACCCAAACGATAACAAGCTCCAAAGCAACCCAAAATGCATCCCATAATATTAGGGCATGGAGGTATCTCTCTCTTAAACCCGGAAAAACCGGATTGGAGGGACCTGACGACTTTGGTGTCGTATCTGGTTACGACGACGACGGCGAAAAATGGGCGGGCTCTAAAATTGCCAAAATTTTAGAACAATTTCAAGTCGTTGATGTTGTTGTTATTGTTTCGCGGTGGTATGGAGGGGTATTGTTGGGAAGTGCAAGATTCAGGCACATTGAGCAGGTCACCAAAGAGGTGCTGGAATTGGGCGGATGGATAGGCCGTCCTCGCCAGGTCTCTCCTTCACCTGCTCAGCCTGTTGTGACTGCGACAGGTATGACACTCGAAAAGGCTGAAAAACTGTTGAGAGCCAAAGACAGCACTGTAGACCATTTGCGGCAGCGCCTGGAGAGTGCGGGGTCAGGGCCGCTAACCGCCAATCCGTCACTGCCATCTCCCACCAAAGGGTATTCTGGGTTGACGCTTGAAAAGGCTGAGCGACTGATCAAAGCGAGAGATTCGACAATTGCACATTTGCGACAGAGACTGCTAGAGCAAGAAATTGCTAATGCAGATAGTACCGGGAGCGAACTAAACACAATCAAGCATACTAGCCTATAATCTATCTTGATCTCCCTAGTGAGTCTTTTTCACTCGCGCCTTGGCTACCGCTTCTTTCGCGTCCCGACAATTGCGACAGAGACTGCTAGAGCAAGAAATTGCTAATGCAGATAGTACCGAGAATGATGCAATCACAAACCCGGATACTGGACTATAGTCTACCTTGATCCTATAAAAAAAGAAATGTCTCTCTAGCGAGTCTTTTTCACTCGCGCCTTGGCTATCGCTTCCTTCACGTTGTGAGCCGTACTCCACTGCCTCAAGACCTTTGACATTCCCAATGTCGCAATCAAAAAGCTCGAAAAAATCGCAATGCCGCCGATCGGCCGCAACCAATTTGTATCCACTCTGTGCACCATGATGTGCATCGGATTCACTCCGGGTGGTGGGACGATATTCAAATGAAGGAGTCCCAAAACGCATGCCATCTTGAGAGACTTGCTTTTGTCCAGCCTGAGGTTTTTAGCGGTTGCCGCCCACAACCCAAGCGAAAAGACTGCTTCCATCGACCAAGCACTCCAGGGATGTGTTTCCCACAACTCTGTCCCAAATTTGAGAGTCGACCCGGGATACATTGCCAAATCCTTTTGATGCACAGAGTAATCCAAGACCCAATGTGACACGACAGCGCCAAACGCAAGCAAAGCGGCCGTGTTGCGGTGCTCCTTGTTCACCATCGTGCGAACCATGACAGCATACATGGCCCCCCATGCAATGCATGCCAATAAGGAATGATCATAGTCGATGAAATCGAGGGTCACGCCGAGGGAGAGGTGAGGGGCAGGTGAGATGCGATCCACGGATAACAAGAGCAAGATGCCATTGATTAGATCAATGAATGCTGAGCCCACGAGGGGGATCTCGGGGGGAAGGGATGGATAGAGGGAGTAGAGGAAAAGCCCAAGGGCAATATGGCCTGTAAACATTTGTGTGTGTGTGTTCAAGTATGAGCGCCCTCCACTACTATAGAAGTAAGACAAAATAGAATCAAGAGAAAAAGGAAATGATTCTGGGGCGTTTATTACGTAACCACATCTGTGTGAGCATCCACAGTCAAAGAGGTTGATCTCTACACGAACAAAGAACCTTTGCTAGCGTGTGATAGAAGCAATGTGTTAATATCCATTGGCGAATGCAAACTCGATCAACCTATTCATATAATTTTACTCGATTTAGACTCATGAACTATGATTTGATAATGGTTCGATGCACAAACGATGCTCCACCATTAAAAACGGGTCCAATATGTGCGGCAATGAACGGATTGAATATTCTGCAGTTGCTCCACCATTGAAAAACGGGTCCAATATGTGCGGCAATGAACGAATTGAATATTCTGCAGTTGCTCCACCATTGAAAAACGGGTCCAATGCGCAGTTGTCATATCTCTATATAAACCCGCCTTCTCTGCCCATTTCCCAGGTTTTCATCATTCTCTGCCGATAGGCTTTCATCATTCTCTGCCCATTTTCCAGGCTTTCATCCATTTTTCTATTCCAATCATCATGCCGCCAAAGAAAAAGCAAAAGCTTGAAAAACTCGACAAACCCACCTTACATACCTGCAACAAAACTTCCTTTGCAAAAGCTTTCCTGCCTAATGAGACCTACCACCAACGGCTTCTAGATTACATCGCCATCATCCATCAACTCGCCGACCACGCTTCCCACGCTCTCAAATTCTACATCCTATCTGCACCAACCTTTCCCACGGTAAATGAAGATACAATCGAAGCAATTCTCTATCTTCTCAACAAGGGGGAGGCTTGGCATCCAAGAAAGGAAGCAAAGAAGGCACGGCGGGATTGTTTGCTGCCATATGTTCAACAGTACTGCCGCATCGTTGATTTTCCTCATCCAAACCTACACGGCGAGCAGCAGTCAATCAATTACCTGACAGCGAGTATGATGACAAACCTGAAAGTCAACGTTCAAGAACATTTCATGCAGATGCTCCTTCGGTACATTAATCTGCGGCTCGACGTGAAGGGACACAAGCAGCGACTGCCCCCGAAAAGTGATGCGCGAAAAGCTTTCTTTACTCGGCTACGCTACTTAAAGTCAGTTTTTCTTTTTGATATCATGCCCGAGTCGCTGGATGACTTGACCGCTGAAGAGAGTGAGCTTCTAGAAGAGATGTGGACACTTAACCTGCCATTTCCTGATCAAGACAAGCCGCTCGCATATTCAGTTACTGTAGACCCTCTCGCCTTCTTCCCTGCCTACTGTCGGTTGTCAAGCCTATATGAAAAGCATGGATTTCGACGGTTCAGTGCAATCCCACTTCGCCGCTCCCTCATCCAAAGCCATGTGCGGATCGACACCGTCATCCTCTACTCTCATATCCTTTGCATCACGCGGCGAGACGCAGAAGCCGTCGAGAAGGTCGATTTATGGATGCGCATCTGTAATCTACGTACCAAAGCTTTTCGGTCTCGCCGCGGTATGCAGTTTGAAGGCTCGATCACCACGGATGGAACCTCGGTGTCTGTATACCTAAAGCACCCAGAAGCAGACAAGTATGGGAAGCGCAGCGGTGGGAAAAAGTCAGCAACAACTCTTACAGCTGAGGTGACGGCGCTTTATGTGGAGAAAAACTTACCTGCTTGTCGAGCAGCAGAGAATGTCATTGTTATCGACCCAAACAAGCGTGACATTCTCTACTGCCAAGACGGCAATGGTACGTTTCGCTACACCGCCAACCAGCGAGCCGTGGAGACTGGAAGCCGTCGATTTGCAAAAGAACGGCAGCGGATGAAAGCCGGCGGTATTGACCTCATAGAATCACGAATACCATCTCACAAGACGATGAACCTCATGGACTTTACTCGCTATCTCCTCGTTCGCCGTGCCGACTGGAACCGCCGCAAGGACTTCTATTCGCATCCTGCCCACACGCGGTGGAAGTGGCATGCATTTATAAACCGTCAGAAGAGTGAATCGAACCTCATATCCAACTTACGCAACAAGTACGGTGAAAACTTTACCATTGTGATGGGAGATTGGAGCGATGCCGGTCGAACTGCAAGATTTCAGACCTCATCAAAGACGAAAGGTTGGCGCACCCTCTTTAAGCGCAACAGGATCAACTGCTTCCTTCTCGATGAGTATAAAACCTCATCTGTCTGCCCTCACTGTTCATCCGATGACTTCCTTGAAAAAGGTTTCAAAACACGACCTCATTCAAGACCTTGGCGACGACGAGAAGGCAAGATTGAAAAAGTCCATGGATTGCTGGGTTGTACCAACCCTAACTGTCAGCAAGCCTGGACGATGCGCTACTGGAATCGAGATACGCTGAGCACCTGCAATATGCTGATAATCGTGCAATCAATGTTGGATGGACACAGTAGACCAGAAGTGTTCAGCAGGAGTGTTCCAGCCGTAGCTTAGATTGGTTAGATTAGGTTTTCCGAGCCGGTTGTCGCCGGTTCAATCCCTGGTGCGGGTGCTAGTGCCAATACCCACCGGCTCCGCACTATATATAGAATACTTTTAATGATTCAATTGGTTGGAATCACTGTACTAGTGCCAATACCCACCGGCTCCGCACTATGAACAATATATTACATCTGACAATGTTCATCCATCATGTATCCATAAAGGGAGAGAAAGCTCCCCTAGTAAAAGCCAAAAGAAGAAACCCCCCTTTGCAACAGAGAGAATGTCATTCACATGACTAACGCGTGTTGTCTTGTGTGTGTGTGTGAGTGTGTGAGTGAGGAGAAGAAAGCGTTTCAATTTGCAACATGAAACTCTCTCTCTCTCTCTCTCTCTCTCTTTGTGTGAGAATAATAATAATTAATGTGATTAAATGTGTGTGGGATAAAACAATGATAACCCCCGTTTTGAAAGTTTATTCCCACACTCTTACAATTGAACGTGGGAATATTCACAACTGTTTTTACTTTTGAGTTTTCTTGTTTTTTAACTTGGGTGCAGAACAACCTTGTATTGGCACATACACACAACGTTAACCATGTCCACTTCATCGGACGGGGAGAATCCTGACGGTGGAAAGAGGTTACAAGAGCATGGACGGTCAGCGTCTGTATCGTCATCATCGTCATCATCGTCAATAGGACAAGAACGACGAGGTGACGGAAAAGAGAGGAGAAACAGTGCATTGTCGGTATCGTCAATATCATCCATGCAAGAAACCATTGTCGATCGACCATTGGATTGCTTTGATCGACAGCGAGCAAAGACAAGAGGACGGGCATGGCCGTTCCTTGCAAAGTTGATCACATTTTGGATACCCAATGTCATTCTGCGATGGGTGGGCTTCAAAACGGATTCCCAACGTCAAGCATGGAGGGAAAAAGTCCTATTATTTTCCATCGTGTTGGTGGCTTCTGGTGCGTTTGTCGCGGTCGTGGAAATCGCTGGTAGATTCCTCGCTCCCCCTCGTACAAACTTTTCGACTTCCGATCTGGCCGATACGAATTTTGTGGCAGTCAATGGCCGTGTAGCGGATTTTTCAACGTCACAGGATCCAATGGGTAAAGCCATTAATAAACAAGTCTCGCCTTATGCGGGTCAAGATGTCTCGACAATGTTTCCCACGTTTGCGCTCTTATCCCGCCCGCTCAACTTTTCTCGACTCGTGGATCCCGATTTGAATGCCGTGGCGACGAGTATGGGTGCCGTGGACAATTGGTTAAACACCCGATTGATGCAGGAGCCGGGATACGTTGTAAATGCCTCGCGTCAAATGCTGCAGAATTGTCCCACACCGGATAGACAGAGCGGGAATGATGCCTTGTGTTTTACGTCGAGTACAGAGAGGGTTATTAGCGAGAGTGTAGTTGGATGTAAGTGAACGGTATTACACAGGTTCAGGCGGGCATCCCATTCTCACGCCATGTTTGTTTGGTCAACAGATGTGCTCCATAATGCAGAGGAGATCAGTGTACAAAACAACAACCTTGACACCAGCGCCGCACTAGTAATTATCGATTCACTCGTCTACGATGTAACTTGGTACCTCCGCATTGCGACCCGATATCCAGACAACCAACAACAAATCAATCCTAGCACAGCGTTTCTCTCTGAACCCGTGACGAGAGCCTTGATGAATAATCTAGGCGGGGACGCATCCGCAGCGTTTAAATCCATTCCGAATCGAGTCCAAAACATTAATGCCATGAACAAGCTGTTTTTCGCGGGTGTATTGGACGATGCCATGCCGCCAGATACGTTCAAGTTCAACCCAGTGCTACTGGGCGTGGGGGCATTGGTATACCTGAGTTTTGTCATCAAGATTTTCATGACGCTCTCGACGGGGTCGGCACCACGGTTAACGACCGCACCGTATACAATCTTTTTTGTCCCAGTTTACAATGAGGAAGCCGTCACGATCCAGCGATCGATAGAGTCCATCGTGAATAGCAATTACGATGCCATGAAGCGGTTATTGTTTGTCGTTGTGGATGGTGTCGCCGTTCGACCGGGGTCGTACCGTGATTGTGGGTCCACTGTGACGGGGATTCTAGGGTGCTCGGGTCTCCCTGCATCTACCCACTCGTACGTATCCATCGGACAAGGCGTTCGAAAAGTCAATGCCGCACGAGTGTATTCCGGCGTCTTTACCGCTTCAAAAGGGTCACAGATTCCATATATCGTTGTGGTCAAGAGCGGGAGTGATAATGAGACGACATTACCCGGGACAAGAGGAAAACGGGATTCCATGTTGATTGCTTTAAACTATCTCATGAACTTGACACAACCCTCCCAAGCTCTCTTGACCCCCCTCGAACACGAGATTCATAGGCAAATCACACGTAAACTAAAAATGGATCCGACGCTGTTCAAATATTTTGCTGTTATTGATGGGGACTCGTATGTGGAGACCAACGCCGTGAAGCGCCTTGTCGGACGATTGGAGCGAAATGATACCATCATGGCGATTCACGGTACACTTCAACCCGTGTCAAAAACAACGACCTTTGCAACAATCTTACAAGCCTACCCATGGTTCCACCTGCATCACCTAGCACCTTGTCTCGATTCCGTCTTGGGTTCCGTGGGAAGATCATGGGGCGGCGGGTTTGCCGTGTACCGACTCTCATTTGAAGATGGAACGCCATGTTTAGTGTCTGAACGGGTTTTGCGCGAGTTTGCACGGACGGCTTGTGACATGTCCACCCAAAACGCTCTTCATTTAGGTGAAGACAAGTTTTTACCGCCGTTACTCCTCCAAGCGCATCCACGGCCGAATCATTTAGAATATAACTCGTCAGCTGTTGCGTATTCGGATATGCCGACACGGTTTCGAACGTTAATGGCACAACAACGTCGATCGTTCAACGCACGGTACAATATCCTGTCCTCTATCCCGTTTTGTATTCGTCGGCCCATCGTGCCGCTCATGGCCTATGTGGAAGTCCTTACCATGACCCTATCCCCTGTCGCAACTGCGTACTTGTACTATATCGTGACACGAATCATCGTGCTAGTGATCATCAAGCACTGTCCCGCCATTTCACTCACGAACACCGATATCCTCGTCTCTATCGCCATGGGGACACTCTTTCTCCTCCAAGCCCTCCTCTTCCTCGCTACACTCAACATCAAGAGCCTGTTTCCCTTGTTTGCCTACATGGTGTTTGGGATCCCATTGTACCAGATTGTGATTCCCTTATGGGGATTCTGGAGCATGGATCGTGCCGTGTGGAGTGATACGGTTGTTGTGGAGCGGGCGGGGTGGGTCCGTGTCCATGGTGCGGATGCAACATGTGGTGGTGGCGGAGATGTCCCTGGTTCCATAAGAGATAAACGAAAATTGTCAACGGGACCCGTTTTAATGCCTTTTGAAACCGAAGAAGAACCTACCAACCAAGTTGGTATCAACATGGTTGACCATGGATTAACCGACACGGACCTGGATACACCTATAGCAACCTACGTACGGAACCGAATCTCACCCTACCACATTAAAACCTCCCTTGAACGAACACCGACCATCAATTCCGCTGCAACAACCTTACCCGCCACACCCGCCTCCACAACCTCCTTCCTAACCCCCGCCGAAGCAACCTACTACCCCCTCTCAACCCCCATCTCCACACCCCCCATTAAATCCTTTTTACGACCCGTCATGACACCCGCATTAGCAGCCATGCTCGACAATGACCCCCAAACCTCTACTTCTTCCCGCCCCCCATCAGACGTCATCTCCCCTTACAACCTCTACAGAAAATCCATCTCCTCCCGAAAATCGTCCCGCTCGTTCCGGGTCGTATCGGGCGTAACATCCCATTACCCCTCGTTCGCGACAACCAATTCCGCTGAAACGGGCATGACACTCCGATCATCATTTGCATCCAATTCCCCAAATTTGTCACAAGAATTGAAAAAAGCGGTTCGAGATCATGTTTACGCTTTTTTAAGCACACGGGATTTGAATAGTGTTACCGCCCGAGGTGTCCTAGAGTACTTGACCAGTATTTTTGGTGAGGAGTTGAAAGGGGTTGAAATGTTTGTTAGGGATGTTGTGGAGGAGTTTACGTTGGAGGCTTTGGCGTTAATGTAGATATCGGCTTTTTTTTTTTTTTTATTTAAGTTTTTTGGAGGGGGCGTGGATAGGGGACTTTTTTGTAATTATGCCTTTTCTTTTTTTTTTTTTTTGGAGTTGGGGTGGGTGTTGGGTTGGACATACGCATCACGATACTTGTATATATATATTCATCAAAAACATTTGCACACAAGAAAACGTTTTTTTTTGGTTTTGCTCTACAAAAGTGTACTTGTCACAGCACAATCATGTATCTGATAAAGAAACCATCATTTTGCAAAAACCAACACACAGACATGTTTAAAAAAACAAAAACAAAAAAATCTATTCTATTCTATAAAAACCCATAATTTTCTAAAATCTCATTCTACGCATAGAAAAAAAAACAACAAACAACAACCACTAAAAAAAAAAAAAAAAAGAAATCTATATACCACAAATCTATATATCCCCACTCGTTAATTCCTGAACCACATCCACAATACTAACACTCACCCGCTTCGTCACGGTCCCATCCCCATTCCGTTTACTCGCCCGTCTTACAACACGGGTAACCAAATTCGGAGTCTCACCGGTCCGCGTTACGGTTGTGATGGTTTCCACAGACGTTCCATCGGGTTCTTGTGTGTGTGCCGTGTTGTGTCTAATGACTTTGGTGTGGGGTTCTTGTTCTTCTGAAATGAGTATATCGGATGTAGAGGTTCGGGAGCGGGTGGGGAGGGACGCGTCACGAGAAGGAGGAACAATACTCGCTCGACGTTCAAGTTCATCGGCTTTAGTAGTACGTCCCAACCAGGATCGACCACCAATTTTGGCAACACGTTGACTAGGCCCGCTTTTAATGGGTGTGAGAATATTCAGTGGGAAAAACCCGCGTTTACGTCCATGTGTAATGTTTTGGCCACGAGCCCATCCGTCCGTGTATTCTCGTTCGATACCGACCAGATCACCTACTTGCATGGCCATTTCGTCGGGACGGACGGGGTAGTAGTGGTTAATCACCACGTGAGAGGTAGGTGCGGGTGGGTGGTAGGCAGAAAGATCGGGAATGTCGTCTTGGTCGGGTGGTGCAAACGAGAGGACAGTGGATCGTCGGCTGGCGTCCGTTGCTCCTCGAACGGATCGGGTTCCTCCTCCCGAAAGGATAATGGGACCAAGTGGTGTCGGACTCGTAGGTCGATACGTTGGCCGTGATAAATTGGGATCAAGTTGATGGTCCACAATCTGGGACTTGTCTCCTAAAACGTTTGTAAGCTCCATGACGGGGCGTTCCGGCGCCTCAGGTGTGGGTAATGTCGTAAAGTCTTCAGGGGGTTGTACAACTGGTGGGACGATCGTCTCCAACGATCCTATGGGACGGATAATCGTTCGTTCAGAGTCTACGGATTTCGTTTCTTCCAATTGCGATTGAGTAGGATCGTTTGGTTCTGAAGGCATTATCGGTGATTCAGGAGACTGAGTGCTTATGGGCTCCGCGGCCTCCTCAGCGGGTTGCACGACGGGTTCCCCCAGCATCTCTGGTGATATTGTCTCCTCATTGGATGACAAGACAGGGGACGCCGCAGTACTATGAATGCTAGGGGATCTTTGCAATGGCTCGCCACCAACATCCGGCACCGGGTCCGGTACGGGGTCTGGCACCGGCACATCAGTGATAGAGGCAGGAGATGACGCGTCTTCAGAAGTCCTCGTTTTGACACTACTCACATCGCTAACAAGCGTCTGAGTTTCCCCTTTCAGATCCGTAATGGTCGTCACAACCGTTGCAGTCCCATCTCCACCGTCCGCCACTCCGGTATCCGCATACTCTACAGTGACCGTCTCCCCAACACCAACAATTTCTGCCCCAGCAATCTCAATCTTTGCACTCTGAGCCTCAAGAGCAGACATGTCACCCTCGTATTCAGTGACCGTGACTGTCTTTTTGTCTAGGACGTGACCCGTTCGTTCGTCAATGATGGTAATGACTTCGTCAATGGTGCGGAGTGTTCCGCGGCGGGAAAGAGTTGGGAGGTAACGTGAGGTGCGAGATGTACCAGATGAAATGGACCGACCGTCCGACTCTGCCGCGTTTTCGGGTGACGGTGATGAACGCTCCAACGTCGAGGCTACCGCTCCTGCTGCTGCAAGAGCCGCCAGGGCTCCAGCTCCGGTACTTGCGGATGTCAAGGAAGACAAGGTATTGCTGCGAGTGAACTGATCCATGTCCCAGGGTGAACTAGACGAGGTTGGTGACGGTGGATTCAGTGGTGTGCCATCCAACGTCTCAGCTGCCAGCGCCACGGGTGTCTCGGCTGCCGGTGCCATGGCCGTGACCTCCCTTTCTGGGCTCTTGGGAGGAACAACAGGCTCACTCTGCTCAGCAGGGTTGCCTTGCTCCAATATCGGCCCGCCAGCAGGCATCTTGTCCTTTAGATCATCTTCCTCTGGAACGTTTGCAGTTGACTCGAGTCCTTGCTCAGCAGAGGACGTAGAGGCCGGCGTCTCTTGAGTGTTACTCGGAAGCGCGCCAGCCGCGGTGACCGCGGAAGCAGCCTCACTGGCCGCTCCAGGTTGACCGGTGCCTGCCTTGCGGTCCACGCTAGAAGGTTCACGAGGCGACGACGCAGCTAAAGCAGCCACTGCAGCTCCACCAGCCAAACCCCCGGTAAGGGCAGCGGAGCCTACCTCGCGGTCCACGCTAGACGGTTCAGGAGGCGACGACGCAGCTAAAGCAGCCACTGCAGCTCCACCAGCCAAACCCCCGGCAAGGGCAGTGGCGCCTATCGACCCTCCCGCTCCACCAGATGGATCTGGAGCAGGAACTGCCGTTCCATTACCAGACACGGTGCTCAAATTCCCAAATTCCAAGTCACGCGCAGTGCTACCCAGGGCGGTTTTCGCTCCCACTTGAGTCATGGGAGGTGGAACGGACAATGTTATTGCAGAGTCCAGACTTGAATGTCCATCAAATCCGTCTCCTTGCGACATGAGCGTTGATGAGGGGACGGCCTGGCTTCGACGTTTTCGATATACGAAAAAGGCGGCAAGGGCAAAAAGAACGAGGAGGCCAATGGGGAGCCCAACAGCAAGACCAAGATTTGTACCATTTGAGTCACCTTGGATTTCGGATCGCTCTCCCACGACGGGTGTTGGAGTTGCTGTAAAAAGATTTAAAGATTAGCCAACTTGCAAGACTTTTTAACTATCCTGTCATGACACTTTACATGTTGAGGAGGGATCGCCTGAGCGGGCGCCTGCTGGGAAAGAGGAAGCTGTTGGAAGTGGGACGGGAGCGCCACCAGAGGGTTGTGTTGACGGAATCGACAATGTTGCAATTGGCGAGGAAACAGAAGAAGAAGATGGGCTGGGTGTGACGGTTGGCAGTGCGGTGGCAGGTATGGAAAATGTGACTTTGGGAGGCATTGTCCCAACGGCCATTCCACAGTCTGGAGATCCAGGTTGACATGGCTTGCCTTGAGAAGAGCAACCAGGTGATAGCGGTATGCACTCACCTATAGAATATTAAAGAATACAAAAAGTCAGCCAATGGCACTCTATGAATAACCCAATAAGAGATACTTGCAGCTAGAAGGGAATTCTGGGCATTCGTGTGGATGGGGAGCAGCATGGACTAGGAGTGAGAGAGACGCGATCTGCACTCCTATCCACCCCCTCCACCACCACCACCACATGTCCGTCATAAACTTGCGTATGAAAGAAGGAGAGAGACAAAGAGGCTCACTCAAATGTCAAAAACCAGAATGGGAATTGCGAACAAGACATGTAGTATGCTGATGAACAATTCCAGTTGCCGCTAACAAAAAAAAATAAAAAACCAAAGAACTGACAGATGTGTGAAATTCCCTTTGCGCGTTTTCTTTAAATTTCACTCTCTGTAAAACAATTTTGGGGGATGAAAGAGAGTTACGAGTGAAAATATGGGAATAAATACGTTTGGATATGAGAGAATAAAACATATGGAGTATATGTGTGTGTGTATGTATTTGCAATTGGGAGAATGAGCGAGAGTGTGAGAGTGTGAAAATAAGTGTGAAATCAGTCCGTGTGTTTTGAGAGTATCAAACTCATCTGCCTGACACTTCTTTCTCTCCGTTTGTAAGGCTTTAGACAAATGTTTCTTATCCAATTGTCATGTAGAAAGAGTATTTCATATCATGTACATTCTCTATACTGTCTTTCCACCCACTGTCGTATTTTTGGGACATTTTCCACACTCGTCCGTAATCATCCTACTCGTTGACCTCTGGACATTTGCTGTCTGGGAAGGCTTGCTCAAGGATAGGTAGTACAAAGTTCCCCTTGAAAATATGAGAGCTCCGCTAGCTCAGTTGGTTAGAGCGTGGTGCTAATAACGCCAAGGTCACAGGTTCGACCCCTGTGCGGAGCATACAGACCATCGTACGCCAATCTTTTTCAACTAATTCTTTTGATTCCAAGTATATGCTTTGGATATCGGATCGTCCCATCAGCAACAACAGCACAGATTTCGTGTTAGGTGGGCATGTGGCCCAACAGTAAGCGGGTGAGGTAGTTGGATCTATTTTAGTCCTTGTGGCAGATTGGTTACAAAGGCCGTTCATGACAGGCAACTCTTATTCAAAAGTGTAATGTCAAAAGGACGCCACTCGACCTAATTTCAACACACAACTTTTGAACACTTTTTGTTTTTCTTTGCGTCTTTTCAATGCTTGCTTGCTAGCCCCAAATGCACACAAAGATGTAGCGATTTCCATCCTCAACTGTCCAAAATCCTTGGCCGTTTGTCATTTAACGTTTTCATTCATTCCGTCCGACATTCTCCAAAAATTATCCCAAATGCTCACTCTTTTGTTTATCTTCCAGATGAAACACTCCATGGTGGTTTCATTGCCCACCTGATGGGCCAACTTGTTTGGATCCAGTCAATCCAAATCACCTGTTTGTGGCCTTTATTACCAACTGGAATGGGATGGAATGCATAATTGGAATGTAAACGGCAAACACGCGCTTCCATTCGACCGCTAAATGGGCGTGGCGGAGATGCAAAGTACACATTGGGTTTGTGTTTGTCCTTGACAAGTTTTTTGTTCGTGCTGGGATATTCTTTGCCATTGCTACCGTTTTCTTTTTTTTATTTTCATCTCGCGAGATACTCGTCTTGACGGGCAAGAGAAGCGAGCAAAAGGTTGATACTAGGACGGTTCTCTGATATACCTGGTCTCGGGCATTCCCACGTTTTGCTAGAGAGTGAGCAAACAAGGCATTGCGTAGGAGACTTTTGTTTGTGTGAGTAGTAGCGATCTTTTGGCGGCATACATGTTGTGATGATTCGCAGTTGAAAATGGAGGGCACCGTACTCATTCAACTTGCTTTTCGTTAGTGTAGTGCCACCAATACCACCTCGTGCAGAGTTCCATTGTCAGTCACACATCGTGAACAAGCGCGCATGCAAAGAAAGCAATGATGGGAACTGTTGATCCACAAGAATCATTGTTAGTGGAACAGGAAACCCCTTCGTCCCCTAACAAGGTGCAAGAATCGGCTGTAAAAGATACCACGAATGACGCAGATATGGGGACTGAGCAAGAACTGGAACTGGAAAAGACTGAGCCTGCAATTAGCTCTAATGGTCAACCCGCTGAATTGAACGGAACATTAGAGCCGAACCACGCAGGATTGGCAGATTCGGATGAGAATCTGTCGGATGGTCCAATGCCAACTCCTTCTGGCCCACGTTACCCAATGACCGTCGCATTCGGCCCACGAGGAGGTTGGTATATCCGCTGGTCGGACGGTACCTCTGGCTGGGAGCACCTTCCACCCACTCTCCATGCAAAGCTAAACAAACGCAATTCCACACTTCCGGGTGTCCGTCAGATGGGAATGTCGGATAACAATGAGTGGTTTGTGTCCTTTGATGACGGATCGTTTGCCACATCTGGGTTTCCCCCACGCGGACGACTCTTTGATGCACTTCATAATGACGCCGATGCAGATGTTACAAATCTCGTCTTTGCGCCTGGCGGTGGATGGCTATTGACCCGAGAAGATGGGACATCTGTCTGGGAGCGACTACCGAGCGGTTTGAGCGATCTCTTGAAGCGAAGATCCAAAGGCGATCCGCCTGTCGATTACGTGGCCATATCCAAATTGGGAGGCTGGTTCATCCGATTTGAGGATAGAGAATGCGAATGGGAGGGATTACCCCCTCGGCTTGAAAAAATTCTGATCCAGACCATTCGCAAGAGCCCCAAACATTTGATTGTCGGCCTTTCGCCGGCTGAGATGAACGGTTACTTTATCGCCGTAGGAACAGCATATGATACCAATATTGAGCATCCCAACATGCGCGCAGCTCTGGCGTGGGCTAGAGAGGAGACCACTGAAGATGGCAGTCCGGTGGCACAACCCGAGATGAACATTAATTATACCGTGCCTCTTCCCAGTGCGCCCGTCGCTAGTGAAGAATTTGAAGATTTGTTTCGGCATGCTGCGGGTGGTGATAATAGCTCTACATTTGGGGATAATGGTGGTCAGGACCTGGATGATGACGTTGTTTCATCCATTGGCGGCGGCGGCTCGGTTGTCGAAGTACAGCTGCCGTCCGGCTCAACTCGCTCGTCATCCCTGAGCCTCCTTACTCCCAACTTGGAGTATGCACAGGTTGACGGAAACGTGGAGGCTGAAGAAGGAGGACGACTCCTCCTTCGTGCAGCCTCTGGCACTCTCAACACTGCCCCCACACAGAGCAAGAGTAGATGGAGTCTAGGCACCTCCAGCACAAGTACTACTTCTCCTGCTCCCGCCCCAGCCACGGCAACAGCTGGCCTCACGTCGTTTTTTTCGTCCATGTCCTCGGTATTTTCATTGAGCAGTGGTCCCAAGAACGAAACTGCGCGTGGACGGTCCGTAACGAGAGGCGATGCAAGAGCAGTGCCAAACAACAAGAATTCCACATCGCCAAACCAACAAAGTCGTGCTGAGCACGACGAATATGATGGCGAAACAGATATGATGCTAGATCGTGTGGCTCAAGTCAAGGGACAAATACAAGAAAGGTATGCATAGTACAATTCCACACAGAGTTCACCGACATGTAAAACTAACATGCCCGTAACACATTTCGCCACTCGCCTCCTCCTCACCCTCTACCCAGAACTCACCCGGTTTTCCAAAACCTCGACACCCTCGCTTACCAATTAACCACCACCCGCAACGCCACAACCGACCAGCTAGCCGAAACCGAGTACTTTGTCCTATACGCTGAAGGCTGGCTAGAAGCCACTGACCCCTCCCCGCTGCCCAACCCATGGCTCAACGGCTGGGTAGAAGGCAAATACGGCTACAGCATGGACGAAATCACGGACGCCATCCAACACTACAAAACCCCTACCAAAACTAGCAACCAAGAACAATCAACCATTGACCACCACCTCGCCCTCAGTTACATTTACGAAGCCCAATTCCGTCAATCCCTCCTCCCCCAACGCTCCAACTCCAAAAGCCCTAAACGCGATTCCGGATTCGGATGGGACCATTCCTCCCCTTCCTCCACCCATGACACCATTATCTTTTTGGATCCCTCCACCCTATCTTATACGACCCCCACTATCCCCGAAACACTCGTCAATGGTACATCCCTCTACCACCTCGTCACGGACCTAACTCGCAACACCCTCTCCCAGGATGATATACCCCCCCTTCGTGTCTTTGACAATAATGGGTACTGGACGTTGGATAATCAACAACTGTGGGTTGTTCAAAAGGCGAAATGTAAGCAGGTCAAATGTAGTGTTGTGGATGTGCCTGAGGATTTACGAGAGTGGATTCAGAGTGGACAGGGCAAAGATGTGGTGTTGGTTGATCAGGGTGTTTGAAAGAGTAAATTGGTAATATATGTGTGTGTGTGTAGTGTGTGTGTGTGCTTTTTTTCTGTATTTTCCTTACGCCCATCCTTTTCTACGCTTTTATACTACCCCCCCTCTTCTTCTCTTAATTCATGTATGGTGTGTTGGTATTCTCTAAAGTTTGTAGACGGTTTAAATATACAATTTTTTCATGAACCATGTGTAGCGATGTGCTGGATGCCTCGTTCGAAGTCAATCAAGACTACGAATACAAGCAAATGATATAATATGCCTGGATCATGTACAGTTTGTAAACAGCTAATACACATTTTTCATGAACCACAATGCATCGCATAGCTACTCTCCGACGACATGAAAAAATAAAAAAATTAGCATTAACAAGGTGCAAAAAAAATACAGACCCATCGTTGAGTGCTCCCTATAGGGGTCGAACCTATGACCTTGGCGTTATTAGCACCACGCTCTGACCAACTGAGCTAAGAGAGCGTCGAATACGCATGTCTCGGTGTTTTTGATCATACATACTTTGATCATATGTATTCAATGACTTGGTTATTTTATAGCGAACGAATAGTTCCGAGAAAATAGTATGCTGATGTATTCAGGTAGTGTTCCCAGACGACTAGAACTCCTTGTTCGTATAAAATTTGAAACAATAACTGATGATCGAGATGGATACTTGTCAAATCGACAGTCCAAGAAAACGTGCAGTGATGAACGTAGTCAGGTTGTGCTCTGACAATAACATCATCGATATTTGGTTTCGCTGTCTGTATCAACTTTTGCATATATAGTTTCTATGAAACTGGTCGTCGGGATGGCTTCTTGCAAGCCAACAAAAAGAGTGTTGAACGTCGAGATGCTCCCTATAGGGATCGAACCTATGACCTTGGCGTTATTAGCACCACGCTCTAACCAACTGAGCTAAGAGAGCCTTGAAATGTTGGCAAGCGGGTATCATCACGATGCGTACATTGGTGATATTGATATTCACATCCCCTCGGTATGTCAACGGCTCAAGATAGAATATCTGCTCTTTGAATCCACGGACACTCCCCATTTACTTACATTTCTTTGCATCCACAGATATCGAAAATTACAAACATACACGCACGGGTATATATGTGGGTGATCCATGAGAAAATCCTGTAGAAACGCGCCCTAATAATGATCGACAGGTCCTAAGAACCACAACCCTTTACAGCACCCCGGCCCCATTCGAGACGGAGTTTCCCTTTTTGAACAGACGGTTTTTTACTTTCGACTTTCTCATCACGTCCTTGTGGTTCTCCTTGAACGTTGGGTTGGGAGACTGCTCACCGGAGGTATTACTGTCATTGTTACGTGTTGGGTGCCGTATAAAGCGTGTTCATGATCTCTGTGGTATTCAGTTGACGCTGACGGCGGACCCTTTTTTCCGACTCGAAATCTAGCGAGATGGCGTCTCTTGGGAAAAAGTTTGGGCAGCTGCGTCAGGTTCGTATACGTTTGTTACGAGTTCATTTTTTGGCGAGTGGCAGGGTCTTTTTTGGACTTACCCTTGTTTTCTTGTAGTGGACAGGTAACGTCCCGTGGATGCCTACGAAATATATACATGTTGTTCTGAGTGTTGCGTTTTTCAGGGGAGAAAATGGGCAGCTCGCAAAAGACAGGTGCGCTTTTGAAGCAGAGTTGGAAGAGACCGGTGGCGGCTTGACCACGTTCGGGTGCTCACCATTGTCCGTTACAGAAACCAGCGAGGAATTCAAACGACTGGAACAGGAGACGGATTTACGACGAGAGTTCACGGAAAAAGTTCATGAGGCTTTGGCAGTTTATCTAAAATCCATGGGTACGCATGTCACAGAAGAGCTTGAACATCGATTTCTATAAACCAATGAAATGTGTAGGAAAGCGAAAAGAGTCCCTCACAGATAAAACCAAGAAGCTGCCACTGGAAATCATGGCGGACGCAATGATCCATTTTGGAACCATGCTACATGAGGATTCAAACTACGGTACTATTGGACCTTCTTGTCAAGTGTAGTGAAAGCCGCAAAAACAACTCATCTAAATCACGCTTTGCAGGAAGAGCTTTGATCAAGTTTGGGGAATGCCATGAAAGGATTGCCAATATTCAGTTGGAGTATGTAAGTGATACCTCTCAACGCCCAGAATGCTGTTGTGAACATGCCAGTATCTCGGAGCTCAAAACTCTCGCATATCTCCCGCAGGTGACTCGTGTCCGAGACTCTTACGTGAACAATATTTCTCGAATTCTTGCAGACATGAAAGAGTACACGGTAACTCTTCGCACACTTTACACCGAACCCTTGTGGGCACTTATGTGACTCTTAATTGTCATATCCTCAGCAACTGAAAGCAAAGCTGGAACGACGACGCCTAGATTTTGATGCCAAACTGAACAAAGTGCAGAAAAGTCGAAAGGAAAAGCCGGAACTGGAAGAGGAGACGAGAGCAGCTCAATCAAAATACGAAGAGTCTCTAACAGACACGACACACAAGATGATTGAACTCAACTCCAATGAAGAAGACCAGCTGGAGGATCTGTTAAATTTTATGGATGCTGAAGTGACGTATCACAAAAAGTGTCTGGATATAATATCAGGTTTGCAGCAAACCTTGGCCGAGTAAGTTTTACCTCCTGTTCTCCATACGTCCCGAGTCGCACTGTCATATTGACCATGTCTGATTTATAGCATCCCTCGTAATCCCAATTCACATGCTGGTGCCGCACGAATGTCTGTAACTGCCCGGTCAAGTGTAAATGACCCACCGCAGCGGCGGCCTAGCGGCGACAGTTTTGGGCCTCCCTCCACAGCACGACCTACTGGGCCGGACCGCAAATTGTCTTATGCTGCAAATGCAGGATCCATGGTTTACCCAATGGTTGGACCCAACGGGTCCACAGTACCCGCGCCTATTCCACAGAGACAAGATTCCTGTAAGAAATACCTGAGAGCAGATTTGGAGCTTGGCACCTCAATTTACTTTATAACTTTTCACTTTCAGCTTCATCATTACCTCTGGCGAGTGTCCCACAACCATCAACGTCCCCAGCGAAAAAACAAGTTCGCGTTCTCTTTGATTTCGATGCCGAAGGACCCGATGAACTCACATGTAAGTGTTCAGTGATCTAGCGCCCTGCCTGTATCTTGATAGCTCAACTGCGAGAACCTTGCTAGTGCGAAAAGGCGATATTATCAATGTAGTCTGCGAAATTGATGAAGGGTGGTGGGAAGGCGAACTTTCTGACGGTAGTGGAACCGTCGGAATGTTCCCAAGCAATTATGTTGAGTAAGTTTAACTTTTTGCGGAATTTATATACACCTACCGTGCTTATTACAATGTGTCCCATCCACAGAGTATTAACCAACAACCTTCCTTCCATGCCTCCACGAAATGAGCTGGCAGGAGGATCCGACCCAGCCTACCAACCTAGATCTTCCGAAGTCGAACAAACCCCCCGCCCAAACTCTGATATTAACCTCTCCCCCACATCTGTTAGCCAACAACGACCGCAAGACCGCCCGTACTCCCATATTTCCCGTCTCTCCTTTGTCCCCACGAATGCACCCATCCCACCACAACAGCAGGTTACACAGGCCTCTCCGGCTGCTTTGGAAGGACTTGTCCAACGATCCTCTGCAGCTGGCGGAGCACCCTTTCCTCCTCCTGCCTCACCCGCGAGCCGAGGTAGGATGAGTTTCGTCGGTGGACAGCTACCTGTATCAAATCATGCGACGACTGCTACTCCGTGTGGAACCTGTGGATGTGCCGAGTTTTTGGCGAATGCGTTTAGGAAGGATCAATGTAGTAATTGTTATCACCGGCATTGACAAAACAAAAAGTATCAGGAAATGTTTTTTTTGGGGCTGTACTTGAGGTTATGGTGGAATTGTTTCTTATTGTTCTCAGTGTATGAGGGTGTATCTGGTCTCTTTGATATAATATCAGACGATTAGTATATTGGCGGTGTACTATAAGAAAATGATATGCAAATAGAGTTGCATCAGCCATGTAAACAAGTACGCTACATCTTTAATGCTATATCATACAAGAGGGGCGACAGTGCTATTCTATACTGCTAGGGCGATTAGTGATGGATATTCTGAAATATTAATTGGATATGTACATGTCCTGTGTACTGTTCTCTTTTCTACATGGCTGCCAGGTTTGTGTGCCATCCTTATGATGGTACACCTGGTTAATGACTGGGGAACGCTGCTAATGAAGTATATACTCCTATGCAACTTTGGGATCAGAGGCATCTTCCGTTAGGGCCTTGTGGACAACAGCTTGCAAGTCTTCGGGGAGGCCACCAGCCAATTGCAATGCCGCTTCATGTCCTTTACTTCCCATCTTTACCCAAGTCTTTCTCAACACATCAATAACCTTTGCTTCATCGTACTTTGCGACAAAGGCTTCGAATTCCTTTTCGAGGAACACCAAGCAAATGGCATCTTCAAACAGTTGCATTTCAGCGTCCGTTTTCAAGTTTCGCTTTTGAAGCAAGTCTTTCACTCGTTGTATTATGTCGGCATCCTCATCGCCGTACCCACTTTCCCGTAGCACTCTTTCCGCCTCTTCAGCGTGGAACTTTGCCAGCGAGCTTCTCCAGCGTTTGTATCCAGCTAACCCTTCTGGAAACGACGCACGCGGAACTGTCCAACGACGGATATGCTGAGTATGGGCGGCGAGAAAAAGGGGCTCGGAGGGAGTATCGGGGGCGGAGAGGGTTTGGGTCCAGTGAACCAGGCGGGAATGGTAGAGAACCGAGTAAGGGATCTCTGTGTGATCTGGAGATGCGACGATATTTGGGTCTGTTTGGTGGATAGCGAAAAAGGCCTTTACAGCGCTATTGACTCTGGGATTGTCTGTGGTGGAGGGAAATGTCATTGTCGTTGAATGTCCTCGTGTGGTCAAAATGTGTTTTGCTTCTGGGGGGTTTAGAAGCCTTGGAAAAGGGGGGGAAACACCTTTTGGCAGAGGGGCGCGGTGTGTGTTGAAATGATAATCTTTCACATGGGAGCGTCGGAGAGCCTGCCTTTGCAACCAACAGGCTTCCCCCCCTTCAACACATCCTCAAAAGCAACCTTACTGTGCGGCATTTTCGCAATTGACCCCCATTAACACACACGGCACAGAAGGAAACTCTTTTGGAATACGCAAGAAAACACACAAGAACACTTTACTTTCGCTTCGTACACTTTAAAACGAAACAAACCTGTCAGTCGGCACATGCCCCCTCTGCAAAGAGGTCCGCTGTCCGCTCACTGCGAATTCCAGCGGACGTCATATCCGCCACTGGTAGCTTTGAAGAGAAACGAGTCCGGAAAAGCACCAGAGCTTTCGTCCTTTGCCGTGACAAAGTCGTTACCGGTTGACGGCTTGACACAAAGAATACCCCGACGTCACAATGGCGATAACCTCCATCCACTCTTACTACCCGACATCCTAATCCCCATACTAACCTACGTACAAAATGCACGACACATACTGCCCGATTCTTCCAACTCCGACCTCCCATGCACCTCCGACACAACACTCCGACAACTATATACATGCGCCTTGGTTTGCCGAACGTGGAACATGTTTGCCACAAAAATGTTATGGAGTGAACTCCGACTGGATAATTTTTACACCTTTCGACGACTTTTGCGAACCTTTGCGCCAAAAAGTCGGTGGTTAGAGTTGAGGGAGCGCGGTCAGGACAGACTAGAGGCAGAGTGGAGAAGAGGCGGTGTTTTTAGTGTGATTGGTGCCGTATTGGGAGGAGTATGGGAAGTGAGCGAGAAACTTGTTAATCGGGTGGCAACCGATGGTGGAAATGGGGTGCCAACTATTGTGAAGGATTGGAATTTGTTACCCGAAATGTGGAGGTCAAGCTTGTTGACACCAGAATATACACATTTGTATGGAGGAATGGTCACGAAATTGGTTTGTTACAAGGTGAGCATTTTATTGTTTTTTCGAGACAATCTATTGTATCGCCGCACTCTGACCTATCTTGATTGCTCTCGCTGCAGCTCTCCGACATCACCGACGATCATATGATACCCATCCTACGTCAGTGCCATAACCTCACGCATTTGGAACTTGATTCTTGCCACATGCTCACAAATGCCACCATTGTCACCGCTGCCCACCATTGCTCTCGTCTAAGTCATCTATCAACACCCCATGTCCCCAAAATCACAGATACGTCCCTATCCGAACTTACTCGCTTCTCCCATAAAACCCTCGTACACCTCGACCTCCGCTTCTGCTCTCTCATCACTGACAAGGGTCTCTGTCCACTCTTTCGACGCTGTACGCGACTGCGTCACATCAATCTGGGTCGGAGGGAGGACGGAAACTGTGTTACTGATCGATCGCTGTACGTCCTGGCACGAAATTGCAAGTCGTTAGTGGAGTTGGGTTTGACGGGATGTCGAGTAACAGACGAAGCCATTGGGCTGGTTGTCGAAGAATGCGGAGAGTCCTTGAGGACACTGGAAGTAAATTATTGCCCCATAACGGATAAGAGTTTAACACGCATCAAGAGCCAGTGCAAGAAGCTGGCAGTTTTGGAAGTCAAGGTAAGGCCCAATTGTCGTTACCATTAACTACTCCCGACTTTTTATATCAATCATGGCTTTACAAGGGATGTGTATTGATATCGGACATGCGACCTCTGTGGACGCTCATCCAACAACGGGTGCGCGTCGAGCTATGCCAGGATCTCAGGACGCGGATGGTAGAAGCTGGATTGGCGGGAATGTTTTCAGCAACATCTTTGATGGGAGGAATGTAATATTAACATTATCAGCAGTCTCGAGCAAGTCTTGGGATTAAATGTGAATGGGAAGGCTTTTGCTGAAGATTTCAAAAATACGAGTAGGAGTGCCAGAGGAATTTCCAGGATAGTTCTGGCCATTTACTCCCTGTATAATCTTTTCCGATCTTATCTTATTTCATCTTGCGCTTTGTCTGTTGTTTCTGTTCTATGTTTTTGGATACGAGTCCTATATTGGCTAGTTTTTCATTCCTCGAACTCACTATTCGCGGCCAACTCAAACGGCTGCTGACGCGTCGCGCTGGTGTGGCTGACTCGCGAACCGCCCAGATGCCCAGATGACATTCCTCAATACAAACGCATACCTATTGGTTTTCACACAATGGGTGGGATCTATCCGAAAACCGCGGTCAATCGTGCATCGACTGTGGATAAAGCTTTGACTGCAACGCGCTTTCCAGTTCTCCCTAAACGCTTTCGCCACGTTTCGCCGACGATATGTCATCGAACGCCGCGCCGCGGGAGCTGGCACTATGGCATACCACTTTTACAGTAACATGACCTAGTAAGCCTGTGACCGACCGTACGCTTCCTAGGAGCAGAGAATGAGGGCATGCGGACGACACGTCTCATCTTTAGCCTCGCTGGAATAGAGCTTGGTCTCAGTTCTGCCGGTAACACTATCGTTCAGAGCGAACATTGATGACTGCCGATTCTGCCGTATAGTATTATTCAAATATCTGCTACCTCAACCGCAGTCTTGCTCCCAAATCCCAATTGGTTGAATCAATACTTTGCCATTCATTGCACGGTGAAATCGTTCCAAAACCCTTGTTGGGAGCACTTTACCTATATTTCCAAGAACTCTGGCTTCATCGACAACCTCCTTGAAAGTGCGCAACGGCCCGATGTAGTGAGGAATTGGGAAAACGCAAATAGCGCTTGCCATCCGACATTGCTCACCAGGGGCAGAGCGGGAAGAAAGCGATCATTTTGAATCTCAAATGTGAGCATCTGCGATCAATCGCGGATAGCGATGTAGTCCTAAAGGTGTCCTTTCGCGGAAAAGATGAGTTTGGACGGAATGCAGTAAAACGGGATTCCGTAAGCGTGCAGTTACTAGATCCGAGCCAGATGTGGATACATTCCAGCGGCAGAGGGAACACCACCGCATTTTTGTGACTTTTGGTCTCATGGCAATAATTTGAACTCCTGGCTGGACCGCCTTCACGTTACACCCTCCCTACACCACGACCGTCCCAAATCGCTCTATTGTGGCTGTCAGAAGCGGGGCTATCGTCCACACCCAAAGCAGCCTAGCATGAAGCTCGCACGTCACAACTGCACTGTCATCACCAGATGATGTGCCTTGTTAGGATCTCTGGATTTGCGATGCATTGCAAAGCACACGCTTAGAAAACTAGTGGAAAGAACATATGCGGCGCCGATCATCACACGACACTGCATTCGGATGCACTTTGGCAGGCTGTTGCACGGGGTCCGGTGCAACCACACACCGCCAGTAGCGTGTGTGCTCTGCAGTAAGCGACTATAGAGAATTCATTGTCCACTGTGACGTTTAAGCGAACGGTATAACGTTACATCTGGATCTTTCGGGCGACTTACATTAATTGAAGCCGGACCGTAGGACGATACTGGAATCACCTGCATAGGGCGGCGTGCAAGGCATACTCAAAACACGAGGATCAGTGCTCGCATCGGTTGAACCGAAGCAAATGATGCCGCCCGCAAGTTGCGATGTATGTGCGTAGTTCCGCCATATGCGAATACGTAGAACGCTATGCAAAAAGGAAACGATCTTTGTTAAGGAAAGGGCAAAAAATGTTGTGAGCGCAAAGTTTACGAGCCTACCAGGATTCGAACCTGGAATCTCCTGATCCGTAGTCAGGCGCCTTATCCATTGGGCCATAGGCCCATACATACCTGTGAGGGTCTTTGCCCTGTATTGTCAATCTTAAAGCAGATGAACGTATACGTCTGCGGAGGCGGGTCAACGAGTAGTGCCATGGCGATCAAGCACGCTGAACTCTCGTTATGCGATCGCACACCGACCACCGTCCCTTTGCACTATTGTATACCGCGGCTTCCTTTTCATATAACCCTGTGTATGATACTCCGACTTGTGTCTCAATCACGCCGAAATTGCACGGAAATTATGATTTCTCCTGTGGCTACACTAGATATGGTGGTGTTGTGGTACTATAATATCACTCTAACAAGAGTGACGACTTACATTCTGTAAGTTACAGTAAGATCTCTATTGAGATGTATCCCTGGTCATTTGAGGGCACCTGCGCAGGTGGTTGACACTGAGACAACCTGTATCGTTATAACATTGTACAAAGCGCCAGCTTTCCGATCAGAGCTGGCATGAGTCTTTCCCTTCTGCTATTGCTCTTGAGAATTTTTCAGTACCCGTAAGATCTATGGACTTTTTTCCAAGCTGTATAAACCCATACCAGACTTGCATGCAGATAGCGTGTAAAATTCAGTAACATCTGCCAAGAGTGCTCGCTACCAAGTTCAGGCAGTCTTCCAAATGAAAGAATAGCTAAAGACCAGAGCCGCGCTTCACTATTTAACCGATTTGAATAAAGCTGAAGTGAAAGGTGCTTTATTGGTCAGAACAAAGGAATGTTGGACTGCTGTCTGATCCAACAATCCAGACTTTGCGTAAATCCATCCACATGGACGACGTCGGCTTGTCTCCAGTCTGTCATCTCCATTAGCGTCGAGGCCAGCAGACCATGTCACGCACACATAGCGCCTGGAACCGCGGCGCGATGGTTAACAAAAAAGTGAGACACATGCCACTATTGACACAAAATGACATTCCTGTCGGCCGTCTTCAGCAGTCAGAAACACTGCCCTTTTGTCATGTCACCAGCACACTCTTATTACCTCTTGCGTAAAGAATATATACACGTGAGCTTAACCAGCAGAAGTCAGAATTCACATCATGTGCCAGTTGACACACGTCCAGCCGACTGTCCAGACTCTTTTCGGAGGATGAGCTTTGTAACAATGTTGCGAGTATGTCTGGCGAGTAAAGACGGAGGGTCATGCCTTGGGGCCATTGTATTCCCATCCCGATCCTCTTGTCCGAATCTTGCCTTAAAGACAACGGCTATCACACCCGCTTAATCAAGACAATGGAGATATCTGTTAAACATCCCGTTAACAAAAACCTTTCAAAAAAACAAACCATGCGAGTTTAATTCCCCCTCCTTGTTCAGAAAGCGCCCTTTGTAAAACTTGCCATTTTTACGGCGCCATTTCATATTCCTATATTTGGTAATCAAATAAGGCGGTCCATCACAACGTCACACAGACGGTGGTGGTGGGGCTTTCGACCCTTTTGTGCCAAAAGGAGCAAGTTCCAAGGCGGACAAAGCAACAGCTGGTTGGGACGGACAGGCTTTCTTTTTTTTTTTTTTTTTTGCTTGTCAGTTGAAGGCAGCGCAATCTGTGCTCGGTTTTGACAACGGCTGTGACCATACTCCGTTCAAACAACCTTGTCGGCTGTGGACTTGAGCAATCGCGACTGACCTTTCCTTCTGGAACGCGATATTGTTTGTCGGGAGGTGGAGTGTTTGGGACGGTACCCAGGTGTGTGCAAGTGCCAGTAGGAAATCGATGGGCGACGGAAACGTTCAAAATATTCTGTCACTTTTGCGCAACAGCCATTGTAACTCTGTCTATCCTTCTTTTGTTCCCTCTGCTCTCCTGCCATCGCGCTTGTCATCACAACCTTGTCGCTGGCGGTTACAAACTCTTGGCGTTGTGGACAGAAGTGTAAATAGCATATCGGGGACCTGGATATTATTACCGCATCGGTTAAACGGACCAAACTTGCGCTAGTTTTGTCTATTAGTAAGATTCTATTCCATCTATGGACCGTTTATATGCTTGAACAAAACTCTAATGAATACCTGAACCAGACAGCGAAAGTATCTCTATCAGTCGTTGAATCAAACTGAAAGGCCCACCAAACAAGGAGCGTGACCATGTCGTCTTATGTGGTGAAGAGGGGTTATTGTTCAGTTCGAGAAGATGGGTTCCGCTCGTTCATGTGGTCCAAGCGGTGGCTGCTATTGAGAGAACAGACGTTGACCTTCCATCGGAATGAGGTACTTGCACTTGTCCAGTAGAAAGCGGAACGCACTGGTTCTGGCTTGGGCCGCCGGGACATTGGCTTATGCAGGCTATGCATTTTAGAACACATACCAAGCATTGGCCCTCATATTTCTTAAAGAAGTGGAAGCGGTCAATCGGACAGAATTAAAACCATACTCGTTTGAGATTGTGACAAAAGAAAAGACTTACTATGTCTCATGCAAGAGTGACGAGGAACTTTACTCGTGGATGGATGAAATCTATCAGGTAAGCTACTGAAGAAATTACGTATCCCATCCTCTCGTCCTGACCCATGATATGTTTCCTTGTTTTCAGCGATCTCCGTTAATGGGTATCTCAAATCCTACCAACTTTGTACATAAGGTTCATGTCGGTTTTGATTCGGATAGCGGGCTATTTACCGGTTTGCCAAGGGAATGGAAGTCGCTCCTAGAATCCTCGAATATCTCAAAGGAAGAAATGACCAAAAACCCGCAGGCGGTTTTGGATGTTCTTGAATTCTACACTGAGAATATGGGTCGAGGGCGGGACGCGCCAAGGTCACCACCACAACCTAGACGAGCTGAGGAGCCACCACGCTCTCGTCTCGATCCTGGTAGTGGTTATTCCTCACAGCAGAACGGTGGTTATGGATCACCAGCACCTCCAGCAAAGGCCACTTCTCCGTACATGACGCCTTCGTCATCACCTAACCTTTCAGTAAGTTTACTCTATTTTATTCTCCTGTGCCTAGGTATCGGAGTGTTGACCACTCTTTAGCAACGTGTTGTGCCACCCCCGCCATCAAGACCCGCAATTGTCCCCCGACCACCTGAGACATTGGATCGCACCCGAGATCGACAGCAATATGCCCCACCGCCTAGCCAGCCAGCGTACCCCAATGGGAGCGCTTACACAAATGGGGGCTCTTCGCGACTACCGCCCCCGCAACCATCGCGGCCACAGGATGTGCCGGCGCGTCCTCCGGCTCCAGTTAAAGAACCATCTGCTCCAACTGCAGCTCCGACAAAGAGCCCAAAAGGCCGAGACACACGATTGTCGACAATGTCGGAAGCACAGATTATGGAGAAATTGCGAGCAGTGGTTTCCAAAGGAGATCCGACCATTCTTTATGCCAAAGTCAAGAAAGTCGGTCAAGGGTATGTGATCAGCATGCGGTTATCACAGACTCGAATTTTCGTGCTCATCTTAACATTTGATCGTTTATAGAGCATCTGGTTCTGTATTTGTCGCACGTAACACGGGCAACAACACAGTGGTAGCCATCAAACAGATGGACCTGGCTAACCAACCTCGTAAGGAGCTCATCGTAAACGAGATCCTGGTAATGAAGGAGAGCCAGCATCCAAACATTGTAAACTACCTCGACAGTTTCTTGGTGAAGAGCGAGTTGTGGGTGGTCATGGAGTACATGGAGGGAGGGCCATTAACCGACATTATTGACAACAACACAATGAACGAGCCGCAAATCGCCGCAATCTGCTGTGAAACCATAAAGGGTCTACACCACCTGCACAATCGTAGCATTATCCACCGAGACATTAAGAGTGATAACGTGCTTTTGGACTCTGAAGGACACGTGAAAATTACAGATTTTGGTTTCTGTGCCAAACTGACTGCGGATCGGGGCAAACGTGCTACAATGGTCGGTACTCCTTACTGGATGGCTCCGGAAGTCGTCAAGCAAAAAGAATACGGTGCAAAAGTTGATATCTGGTCCTTGGGAATCATGGCTATTGAAATGATTGAAGGCGAACCGCCATATTTGGAAGAAGAGCCACTTAAAGCGCTTTACCTCATTGCAACGAACGGTACTCCTACGTTGAAAAGCCCCGAAAAGTTGAGCGGCGTGTTTAAGAACTTTTTGGGACGGTGTCTGGAAGTGGATGTTGCTAAGCGGGCCACAGCAGATGAGTTGCTACAGCATCCCTTCTTGAGAATCGCAGCGCCGTCGAGTGCATTGACTCCATTAGTCAAGCGAACAACCAAAAAGTAGGTTGTTTTCGTTGGGTGGCTTTGGTTACGTTAGCGAAGGATATGGTGAAGTTTATGGCCGATAGAAAATCTTCCTTTGTGGTGGTCCGCAATATCGGCGGTCGCGAGGATGATGATATCTCTTCTTGTGTTAGCATTAGATTGAGGACGATATGTTGTCTACTTGTAACCTGATTTTTTTTTATGGCTGCAATACGTAAAAATATGTGCCTTTTTTTTTGTTCTGCATCGCTAGATTTCCAAGCTGCCTTAATGACCCTTATATCTTATATTTATTGTATATGTCGCAACACGGTTATAATACTCCATGGTAATTAACACAGGCGATGGAAATAAAGGGGATGCTGGGAGGCGTCCACACCCGTAGAAAACCCCTATTTTCCTTCGTCATTGAGGATTGATTTGCATATCGTTACGACTCTTGTAAACTGCAAAAACAATTGGAAAACTGCACAAGTACATGCAGCCGCCCACTAGTTACCCAGTTATTCCAACTTAGTCTTCTTCTGTGCAGGCAGGGGAATGCCACGGCTCTTGACTACGGTATGGAATATCTAGTTTTTTTTATATTTCCGTCCCTTATATCCTAGTCCTATCCCTCCTTTTTGTCTGCCCATGTGCTTTGCCCCCCATGTCGGAGTTACATCAACATTAGTCAGCCATGTCGTCTTGCAGGCAACCACGGATACTGGCATAATGTCCCGTGCAATGCTTTGTGTGCAGCGTCATTTACTAGACACTGATTTTCGACACTCTGCACGCCCCCATTGCTCAAGTTTTCGTACGTGTTCTTTTGTTCCATCTTGGTTATCGTTGGACTGGCATTCAAATTGTATTGCTTTGTACATAATTTGACATTTGGGACACGGATACATCACTTTTACATGCATGTATGCTATCGTCTACCTCACCTTTGCTTGCTCCATTTCCTCATATCTATTAAATAAAATAAAAAAAAACGTATTGGGGTAAGTTGAGAGACACGTGACTGTTAACCAAGTAAACTTTCAACTCTTTTAAATTCTGTTGAAATTTCAAGCACTGGACTTGCCCCCCTGTTCGCGTCTCGCTTTTTGTTGCACACTTTTGGGACTTGACTTGCTTTAATCCCGTGGCTATTCTTGGGACTTGCCCCCATTCTTTTGCCTACTTTTACGACTGGTTTTTTATATTCTGACATCAACTCAGACGTTCAAGAATTTGTTAAATAATCCGTCCTCGTGCTCCCACTAGTGGAGGGAATTTAAAAAAGGCTTTCGGATAATTGCCGCCGTTTGGTTCTTCAAAAAAAAAAGGCCGACTCTTATTTTTGACCTACGGAAATTCAACCTTTGAGCAATCCTGCTACATTTAGTGAGCAAACAAGTGCACTGGTATTCCTTGACTCAATTTTATGGTATTAATCCTTTGGCACAACCACATCCAGCTTCTTTCTTTTTTTTGTTTTGCTTTCGGACGCTTCATTTCTGCGCTGCAGAATGGCAACCGAAACGGAACAAATCAAGGCTGAAGAGCCTTCACTGGTAGACGGTCACAATAACTTTAGATTATTCGGCGACAAGTATGACTCGGATGGTAGGTTTTACATCGTTTGCTGTGGAGCAATGCTCCGTTCTGTTCCGATAATGCCATTGGTGTGAGGGTTTGGGTATTTCCTCATCTTGTTTCTCACCTGCTGGTTTCTGTTCCTTCTTTCCCCTTCTTTAAATCCATAGGCTCTGAAGTATGGTCCGATTTCTCCGATAACGAAGACCATAGCGCTGCCGTCTTTATGCGCCATCCACTGGTTAAGTTTCAACCAAAAATAGAGCTTTTTCTTGAAAGTGAGCCTTTTACGTATCCAGTGCTTGTGCCAACGAGCTCGTCCGAGACGGATCCATCCGTCTCCTCCCCGGAAAAACCCAGCCTTGATACATTCTCAGCGTCAAGCGATATCCCTCACTTGTCACTCCCAGCGCACGAACCCAAGCGTCGCGGTCGTCCTCCCAAAAGCCGCGGCGGCGTCCCAACATCGGCTGCGCAGACTGAAATCACCTCGACGCACCCCGCAGCAGCAGAAACTTCACACAGCGAAATCCGGCGTTCTGCACGAGTCACTGAAAAGATAAAGTTCCGTGAACGGATGCGAGAACATGAGGAGCTCATGGGTCGCTGGCATCAGCAGGGAACATCTGAAGAAACGTCCAGAGTACTTACAAGGAAACGCGGCCGACCGCCAAAAGCTCGATCCGATTCGGAACCTCAATCAAGGTCGCCCAAAAAGTTGAAAGAAGCGAAAAAGCCTGGAATTATTTCCGACGGTCGCAAGACTTTCCCAACGGCTGTACCTGGTCAGCTACCTCCCGCCACATCCAGTCCACCTGAAGATCGTTCATGGTTCTCCTACAACCGACCCGGAGAGCTTGTCTGGGCTCCGATGAATCATCCCGCATCTACCGATATGGATGCTAAGAGAATGTGGCTTTGCCAGGTCATTGCAAGATGGGATACTAAAGGTCAAAAACCACTTCAAGCCTTATCATCAATTGTCCAAGAAAAGTACTTTGACTTGACTCCTAAAAGACCCCGTTGCAAACGTACTTCGGACGTTCTCGATACCCTAGAATCACCATCCAAAAGAGCGAAAACCGAGAAGGCCTTGCCAGACGGCGAAACAGCATCATCCACAATCAAAAATTCATCCACACCGGCAGCATCACCATCATCCTCATCGTTACCTGGACCTTCATCGCAACCTATATTCAAAGAGCCATATCCTATTCCAAAGCAGAAGCGCCCGCAACAACCGCGCGAACGTACTCCTTACGCCATTGAACCTGAATTAGAATCAATTGAAGATGTACGTGCATCCTATTCCAAAGGGTCCAAGGGCTATAAGGGCTGGATATGGGGTTGCCTGAGCCCAGAGGATGTGAAGGGTATTGGTCCAGAGGACCTGTGGGAATTTGACCACAAGCGAACCCGCTCCAGTGTCGTCGACACTAGCAGTAAGAAGAGGAAGCGTAAGGAGGGTTCAGCGTCCGGCAAGGGAAAAGGAAAAGGCGTGCAGCAGTTTGTTGAACAAGACTACCAGCAAAAGAAAAACAAGGCGGATGAATCTGATGAATCTGAAGGAAAGGAAGGAAAGGACCAGGAACTTGACGGTGGAGAGGAAGCAAGTGACGTTAGCGAAAGTAAGATATCCGAAGCAGGGAGCGAGGTCAGTTTGCTGGACACCATCCAAAAGGAAGACAAACGGGAAGAGCCTGGTTTACAACCGTCCGCGGCTCCTGCTGCTGAAGAGGCGGCATTTCTACCTTCATCAACGCCTGGGCACCACTACATTCTCCGCCTTCTTCCACATGCCCCTTTACTGACCTTGCCAACGCCACGCCGTCTTCAAGATGCCAACTACCAGGGCGAATATTACATCCAATGTCCAGCATCAAAGGTTGTCCCGTACCTCAGCCAAAAGCCCCATATCACCGATGACGCAGTTTTCAACCGTGCCGTCACCCAAGCCATAAGCTTGAGTACGGGGTGGGCCGCGCCGGACGAGCATCACACCGCCGAAAGAAGGTGGACCAAATCTCCAACAGGATTTGGCGATGTCGTTGACATTTTTCTCAACGTGGATGTGACTTTGAAAACCGTGAAAGCAGCAAAGAAAACCAAGGACGGTGCTGGGAAAGTTCCAGAGAGCAGCTTAGTGGCGGGAGAGGGTGAGAGCACTGCCACGGACTCGGAAATCGATAGCCAACGAGTTTCCCCCATCAAACCCGGATTCGTAGAAACTAGCATTAAGCATGTGCGCTTGGGCGCCGAACGCATCAGCGTGGGCGAGCTGATTCGGCTGGTCAAACCCTTCCGCCAACGCGGCCGTCCTTCCCCTATTACCCGGGACCCCACTGAAGTCCAAGAACAATTTGAATACATGGAGGTGACTAGCATCACTCATGTCCATCCCGAACAACTTTCCAGTCCTACTGGCCTCAAAAAGGACAATGACGACATCCCAAACTCGACGGTGCGGCTTACCGGAAAAATCTACGTCCGTGTTGATGCTGAGACGAATATAGTGCTCAGCCATATCGATCAGAGGGCATCAAAGTGGGTGAAGACGGGGGAGCTGAGGACGGTGGACCGAGAGCGGGTGGGAGGCAGATATTATGAACAAGTCTATGTGGCCGGGCGCATGCCGATTGTTGAGGAGCAGACGTGGGATGGAGAGGTGAGAAAGTCCAAATTGACAAGGAAGGTTGCTGTATTGAAGACGGGACGATGAGGAGATGGCAAATGCAATTTATACCGAGATGATCTTTTCTTATTTATTCTACAGTAGTTTTATTTATTTTTTTTATTGCATTGGACGATACCCACACAATACACAAACACCAGATATCAGATGGATTCAGTTGCTGTCTATTGATTAACCTGGAAATTTTAACGGGACAGTAATAACTTCCAAGCGGACTATTATCGCGCTGTATTCCAGTTAGAAGTTTATGAAATAGTAACAATTTGCGGCAACAATCCTGTGCAGATTCATATTTAAATTTATGCGCATAGCGAGTAGCGGGAGCCGCATAAACTCATGTTAGATACTCAAGAGACCGAGTGCCTGCGGGCTAGTAAGATTATGCAAAATTCTGTTACGGTGACTGCATCTTAGCTACTGAATGCAGGAGCATTAATCTGTAGGTGAATTTTGGTACCGACCAAAGAACTACTTTAACTGGAGCGTCAAAGATAAGTCATGAATATAAACATATCAGTTATAGATAACACGACAGCTCCGCTAGCTCAGTTGGTTAGAGCGTGGTGCTAATAACGCCAAGGTCACAGGTTCGACCCCTGTGCGGAGCATCCATGGAACGCAAGAAAGCTTTTTTCCGTTCTTCTCCGTTGCCTATAATTTTGGGATGGGACATGTTGCGCATGCCTTATCACATATACTTCACGTGAATTCAGTTGTGTGATATAACAATCGTCTAAAACATTTGATTTTGACTTTGTGGGGATAGCTTATGGGGTAATGCGTTCGTTCTCAGTTGCTGAAAGGCACAGAGTTCGATCTCCACATTGCGCGGGACTGCAACGCTTTGTGAAGTTACAAGCGCGCTGTAATGTCACAAGGGGTGTCAGTCATCACCGCGACACAAGGGGTCAGCTCAAAAAGGCTGGTATCCGGTCGAGCTGAACTTCTGTGTATCCCCCCAGTGGATCTCGGCGAAGAGCATCTCTTTACCGAGAGCTTATTCCGCTGGTCCCATTTTGCTAAATGCCTGCTAGATTAGATAAATCCTGAAGAATTCTTTCAATCCAGGAAAATCGTAACTACTAATACATAACCTTGCCAATTTTGACAACGACAAGCTTTGCAGAAAGTATCAAGGCAACCTCACAAGTATATTTCCTTCATTTACTTGAGTTCCATGCATACACAGTGTTAACACTGTGTGACCAACTGTTCGCTAAGGAATGGGATCTAAAAGCAGAAACGTTATAAACCTGTCCATACAAATATTGATAATGAAAGCCGCATAGAAGAAAATCTTGGCTTTAGAATTGCTAATGCTGACGGAGGGTATGTTATGTAGCACATTACGACTCGATTCCGTATCGACATTATTCTGTTCGTCTTTGGACTTTCCATCATCCCTTTCTCAGAAATAACCATGGTATCTAACTAGCGCTTAGTCGCGTGGTAGAGATGTCGTTCTAAACTTCAAAGATCTGTCAGTTTGAGGCTGCTTCCCTGTTGTCATAAACTTTGCAAGTCTTTTTAAAGTAACAATAAACATGGCTGACGTAACGGTGGGATATGGACTAGCTATTTATATCACTCTTGTATTTCGCCATTTTAAGTTAATATCAATATGAATCACAAACTTGTTTGAAGTCTACTTTTTACCTTATCCAAAACGTTTGGTCATCATCGCAGGATTTGTTGCAATGGATAAGCCGGTAACCACAAACATTTCTTTTGGAATCAAGCAGAATTATCTCATATCTCCAGCTCTTTCTTCCAGCATTCACAACCCTCCAGTCGTGTTGCCAGCGCCAATCCCTCACCAGCTGCGTCACCCCGTATCAATGATCGTCGTAGACCACTTCCCAATGTGACGGGTGCTCAGGGAGGTCCACCCGATCCGAGATCCCCGCATCTTCCTGATGTACCTCCATTGGACATGGAAGGATACCTTTATCCTCCAGCCCAACAATATACCCCATCTGATGGACAGGCCGCCAAAACATCCGTATCAGGACCGAGACCAATGCGTTCTGAAAACGTGGGTGTATCTTCCGCAAGAAGATCTCAAGGTGAAATCCAGCCAGCAGTAGTCATGCCTCCGCCAGGTTTCAATCCATACAGTAGGTCGGGAACGGGATCTCATCCCGCATCTCCTACCCCACCAAGAGCTAATCTTGGTGGAAATGAAAAGAGGGTTGAATTTCCATCTGCTCAAGCTAGTCCGCGACCTTCCGCACCATCGTCCCCAGCGCCTGTACGTCCCTCTCTCCCACATCCCCCATCCCAAGATACGTTGGCGAGCAGTCTTCGCGTGTCTTCTGCATCCACAGATGCTAGTGTTTTACCGGCCATCGCTATGCGAACCGTTTCGTCGTCGCGTTCCCCTCAAAACTGGGAACTTTTG